TCCAAGCATAAGCTTATTTGAATACATGAAGCTTATAAGCTAATCAAATAAGATATAAGCTAACTTATATGTTTACCAAACAATGTAGATTACTAGAAGCCATGAAATGTGATATATGCATCGAAAATCTCATACACACACACACACACACATGACCTTGAATAAAACTCAAGCAATGCGAGTGGGAGGCTTGAAAACATATATATAGATGTAATGTTATCGAATATATGTGTGATGTCTCCTTTTACTTGTTTTTTTCTTTTCCTTTTCTTCTCATGGTGTGGTGTAAACCCAATTGAAATAAATTAGGCGACTTGGGGGTGATTGTTATCAACCCAAAAAAAAAAAAAAAAAAAAATAAATAAATAAATCAAAACTCTCAAATTTAACTCAACTTTAATCCAACTCCACTATCTCTATCAATATAACTAAATAATATCAACCAATCATTCTTACACAACACACCAACTTTAATTCAATATTCATCTACTCACATAATTTTATGTGTCACTTACAATATTTTTTCTCGTACTTATACATCAAATCAACTTCAATTATTTTATTTTAAATAATATTTTAATTTAAACTTAAATATCCACTAACAACTAATTATACAACCTTTTAAAAATCAACTATGGTTAAAAAAATAAACAATCAAAAACTAGTTCAATCCATATCCAATCACACCCTTTTTACTTTGTTCGGTTATGCTGCAATATTTGTTCCCAAAGACTCAGCGAGTGAACTAGGTGAAGGTATTCCCTCTCGAGCTTCTATTTCATCCGTTAAAGGAGATTCGAGAAAAGATGGAATAGGATATGATATTGTTTTCTTCTTACCGCTCCGTGGGCATATACAGAAAAGTTATGCTGCAATATTTGTTCCCAAGCAATACTGCCATTGAACATGACAGACTTACCTTAAGGATTTTCAAATTCGAGTCCATTGTTGCTGTCTCGTTTGAAAGTCCCAAAACTTGCTTTCCATCCATTCCCATCTTGTACACTATAAAATATGCAATTGTCCGAACAGTCTTTCCATCCTTACCCTTGATAGAATGATACAAAACAGAAGTCTATACACATAAGCCGATGATATCCAAGTTACTACATTATACTCACACAGTTTTGTCTCTTGATCGACAGCAAGGTACACTGTACGGTCCTTTGGGATCAGACGGAATGAAAAGATTGCTTGTTATGTCACTGTCAGAGGCGACAAGGCAATGCAGCTTCTCGAAAGCGGGCTGAAGGTCAAGGAATACGAATTGCTCAGAAGGAACTTTAGCGACACTGGATGCTTTGGGTTTGGCATTCAGGAGCACATTGATCTCGGGATAAAGTAAGCAAGCAAGTCTCTTTTTGCCTGGTCTTTGTTGCGAACATTACAAGTTTATGAAATGAAACACATCTATAATACTTGAATCAAATTACTCATCAAAACCTCATTTTTCACTTGGAAAACTGAAAATTTATCAATCTTCATTCATTTTTCAGGTACGACCCATCAACTGGCATCTACGGTATGGATTTCTATGTTGTCCTAGAGAGGCCCGGTTATCGTGTGGGCCGCCGGCGCAGATGCAAGTCGCGTGTCGGAATTCAGCACAGGGTGACGAAGGAAGATTCCATGAAGTGGTTTCAAGTGAAATACGAAGGTGTCATTCTCAACAAGGCATCTAACATTGGAGCTTAAGGGAATTTTTACAATAATTTTTTTTTTTTTTTTGGATCCGGAAAAGATTTAGAATTTCGTCATCTTGGAAATCAGACTGTTTTACTTTGCTTGATAGCAGGACGGTTTTTGTTGTGTCTTTTAGTTTATGAACTAGCTCGATTTTGTCAAATTGTGATTGCCTGTGATCAAAATATCTATCTTTACACTACAAAGAGATTGTGTCTTAATTTAAAATCTAAAGAATGACAATAGAAATGAGATAAATTGTTAATAGGATTTCTTGCTAGAGCTGAATCCTGGGGACATTGGTTTAAATCAATTTTGTCCATCATAATGTTATATGGACGAGATGCTTCCATTTGTAACCGATCAATTTTTTACTTCTCAGTCATTTGATATGCCTGAAATTCTCAATTGTTGAAGAACAAACTCGTGAATATTGATACCCAGATGGGGGATCCAAGATTCCAAATAGCCCTTTGTATGAAAATTTCCTCACAAAAAATAGGGAAGTAAAATTAAAATGCAGATGTATAAAGACAATTATGGATGGGGATGTCTTAAAGAGGTTTGGATTCGTTCATTTAATTTGGTTTGGTACTTTGTGTGTGAGCCTATAGACATGAGAATGGGTTGGTTGTAATAGGGTATTACTATTTACCGCCCCCGCTTTTACTAATCACCGCTCCCCCCAATTACGTTTTTGCCCTTCATACTATCTCCCTACTTTATCTCTCTACTCTTTCCCTCTCGACTTTTCACGGCTCTTTTGACCGTCAAATTTTTTTTGAAAAAATCCAAAAAA